GGTTACCTGATGTTAGATAGGTACAACTATGACCTGACTGTAGAAGATCCCTATTTTCTTTCCTTCTACTACTTCTTCCTTCGTTTCTTCTTCTTCTTCAAACATTCTTCTTCTTCTTCTGCATAAAAATATAAAAGTAATAATAATCAATTAGTTATATACATACAAAAAAATAACTAAAAGCAATATAAAGATTTGTTAAATTAAATTATCAACAATAATAATAACAACTAGTATAAATCTTGTGCACATGCACAAGTTACTAAATATAAATAAATATTTTATATAAAAATCATAATTAAAATAAAATTTTACTTAATAGTATGTATCACATTTATAATCATTACATTAAAGACTCTTCGTTGGAGTTATATACTTCGAGAAAAAAAAATAATATAAATGTACAATTTACCATATATTAATGACTATTATTATATGGTATAATGAGTAACCCAATTTTTATATAATATGAATATTATATTATAATAATAAACATAAAAGTATTACAAAAGCACAGAATAATAAATTTAAAATGGACAACGTAAATCTTATATACCACATAAGTTGATATTAATAATAGATCTCTACAAATGAGAAGACAAAATAAATTGATATGGTTATGATTTATTTTTATAAATTTATTTCCCAGGGAAAATTAAAAAAACTATATATTACTTCGCTTCAAATAATTGACTTAAAATGTGTTCCTAATTAAAATGATTAAAATAAGCATGAGTAATTTAAAATTTAAATATTAAAATAAATGTGAAATCAGAAGAAAGAATATATAGTTATAATATTGTAATGTGTACATAAAAAAATATAATTTTACTTACCTAATTAACAAAGGGTGCAATTATATTAAATTTTATGACATGACAGTTAGAATTTTATTAAATATTGAAATATTAGTTACAAAAATATAAATAGAATGATAGGTGAAACATACTAAAAACACTTTACAAAATGAGCGGAAAAAATAGGTTATCCACATAAGTTTCTTTTCTATTCAGCCAATCCCTTACTTGCTTCATCCCGCTATTTATTCTCATTTGATAAATGCTCCTCTCGGCGCCAACTCAAATATGCAGAATGTTGGTCAAGTCTAAACAATGTTCAAACTTGACTGTTGTCACTACCTTGGTCATCATATCTGCAGGATATCCTACAATTATATATATATATAT